TTATAATGGCAGTCAATGGAGCCTTGTATTGGTCCAATACTGCCTCCTGCTGCATCTACACAATATGGTACTGCACCATAGTTTCATAATATTTAAAATCAGTAGTTCAGTGATTACAATATTAATATGATTATATTTTGATGTTGTACTATAATATTGTCTTAATACTGCTCTATTGTTGTAATCTTATGCAGTTTAGTGTCAATAATTGTATTGGCAATGTGGCCTCTTTCTGCACACATACAAACCAACCCCTGCCACCACCTTCTGCCACAACTCCATTGGTCTAATGGTCTATGTCATAGACTTTCATGTGGGAGATCAGGGTTCAAAACCCGGCTAATGCAACTTTAAGAAAAAATCTCTTCAAACTTCATATTGTCACACAATTACCTTAATTHYRAACACCTGCTGACGTGACAGGCACAAGCTGGTATAGAAAACACATTTGATCATGGTCAAAGTTCATTCTCCAAGTCCAATGCTGCAGGCAAAGCCATGCTGCAATGACATGTTACGTGGCAATGCACACTTGTTTTTACATCGTAAAAACCCATGTCTAGTGTGGTATTTGTTATTGTTGCACTTTATCAGTTTTAAACAAGAAGAGAAAAAAATAGATGCATAAAAATTATTAAATATTTGCACAAATATGTAAAGTATGCACAAATCTCATCTTTATTGAAAACACCTTGTTCTGTCACGCACAGTTTGAATTTTGGTCTTTACTTTTAAAAAAAAAAGTGTTTGACATTTTTTACGACATGCTCCAGATGTAGCTCAGGGCAGCACAGAACCAGCATGTAAAGTATTTTTTTATGATTCCAGAGCTCAGACCTATTTCTCTGTTTCTTTTCCATTTCTGACTCGTTTTCTTGTTCAACTGAGGCAAAGGCATTCTTTGTGCGTGATTTCAGCAGCTAAAGCAATAGGGAGAGAGGTAGGCGGAGGGTGGAGAAAGGAGTGAAGACAGCCGTGGCACATATCTGTGGCCAGACATAAGTTGAGAGCCGTGACTTCATCCACATTTAACATGACAGATGGAGGAAGTTAAGATTTCAGACCTGCTCTGCAGATTCTCTTAAGGGTTTTACGCTGTAACTATTGATGCTGTATAATGACAAAAATATATTTAATTTGGTCTTTACAGTGTATTATATTCACAAATAATGTTGTTTTTTTGTTCTTCAGCTACAAGAAACTGGCTTCTGATTGAAATAAGTGTTTCATAAATAGTTTATCGGTGGTGCTTTTATTTTTAAAAGTTGAAACTTGCTTCCTGTGGCATGATTTTGTCTTGAATCTTCAGTGTCATTAAGAAAATATTCAAAATATGTTGTATGTCAGCATCTTCCCTCTGCAGCATCGATCAACTTGTTTTTACTCTTAAAGCCCTGCTGTTAAAGCTGCAGAAAGTCTTATTGGTTTCTGAATCACTGAAATAAAAAGATACTGACAAGATTTTTACAAAACATGGAGCCTTTTTGTGGATAAACCAGTATTAAACTGCTGGATCAGTTTACTTTAAAACAATCTATGATACGAAGTGTATTTATTCTGTAGCTTTTAGTTGGCTTGTTTAAATATAGAATCATACATTAAATAATGTTTCTATTGAGCTAGTATTAATGATGTTTCAATCATTTTTAAAATCCTTTAAGAAAACAGGGTTGTACAGCACAAATTTAACAATTCAATTTATTTATATAGCACCAAGTCACAACAAATGTCCACTCAGCACACTGTACAAAAACAATCAATCTAAGGAAGCCAGCAGATTGTGTTGAAGTCTCCCATCCTGAGCAGCACATTAGTGACAGTGGAGAGGAAAAACTCCCTTTTAACAGGAAGAAACCTCCAGCAGAACCAGAACCAGGCTCAGGCAGGCAACCATCTGTCTCGACCGGCTGGGTTGGGGAGGACAGGAAAAAGAGAAACTCAGAATAACCGGTCCAGATGTGTTTCCCTCTAGAGGAGAGACAAAAAAAAAAAAACCACATTATTGATAGAAATAAATACAGCAAACATGTTGAGGAGGGTGACTAAAAACAGCAGCAGAGTGAAGAAATGTGGTCAGTTTGTCTTCCACCAGTTTAAGCAACATAACTAAGGAAAAACTCAGGAAACCTAAGTCTAGCTATATGATTTATCAAAAAGGAAAGTCTTCAGTCTAATCTTAAAAGTAGACAGAGTGTCATCCTCACGGACAGAAACTGGAAGTTGGTTCCACAAGAGAGGAGCTTGATAACTGRAAGCTCTGCCTCMCATTCTACTTTTAGAAACTCCAGGAACCACAAGTAAACCTGCAGTCAGAGCGAAGTGCTCTGTTAGGAAAGTATGGAATAATAAGATGTTTAAAATATGATGGAATTAATAGTTAAGTCTTTATTTTCAACATGTTTGATTTTCTAGAAGCAAATAAAGCTTGTTTTTAAATGGTAAATGAACTGAACTTATAAAACACTTTATCAAGCCCCATTAGGACCCCAAAGCGCTTTACACTACAGTCGTTCACACGGTCATTCACACATTCATTCACACACTGATGGTGGTAAGCTACATAGTAGCCACAGCTGCCCTGGGCATTTTTAAGCTGTTGTGACAGTTTGTTCATGGCTTTTTTGCTTTTTTTCCTAACGTGCCTTTTATTAATACATGCTTTTCAGATTTTGTCTCATTACATAGATTAATTCACCTTAAACGTTGAACTGAACACCAACATTGACAAAATCCTGTGACCTTAATATTTAATGTTTAATGTCTAATGAATTTGGTGTCTTTGCTGAATCTTAGGAGTCATACCGGCAGGTGATGAAGATGCGCCCCAAGGATCTCTGGAAAAGACTGATGATAAAGTTCAGAGGAGAAGAGGGACTGGACTATGGAGGCGTAGCAAGGTAGTTATGAATTGTTATGATCATCACAGAGTGGTTTGACTAAAGGTTTCTAACCTGAACATGTGTTTTTGTTAGGGAGTGGTTATACCTGTTGTCGCATGAGATGCTGAACCCATACTATGGCTTGTTTCAATACTCCAGAGATGACATCTACACTCTACAGATCAACCCAGACTCTGCGGTCAACCCAGTATGAACCTTTTTGCTTCAGCTTCTAGTAGCCATGCTGCCAGTTTAACATGATGGTGATCATTTTCTGTCTACAGGAGCATTTGTCATATTTCCACTTTGTGGGTCGTATCATGGGCATGGCGGTGTTTCACGGTCATTACATTGACGGAGGCTTCACGCTGCCCTTCTACAAGCAGCTGCTTGGAAAACCAATCACGCTGGAGGACATGGAGTCAGTCGACCCAGACCTCCACAACAGCCTTGTTTGGATTCTGTAAGACCCCCTACCCTCACAGAAAACACATTGCTTGTCTTTGTGGAAACACAAAGTTAGGAAAGCTTGCCGGGCATACAGATTTATCCACGTTGTTTTACATTTCTTTTAGCAAACATTGTATTTTAAAAATACCTTGCTTCCTTACAGGAGCAAGATGTATCTTTTAACAATTTACTGCAACTTTCTTATCTAATTTGTTAATTGAATCATTGTTTTATTGAAATTTCAGTTCAATGCAGAAAAAGGAAATCAGGCATTGAAGCTTGAAAAAGACCTGCAAAATGCACAAACTTGGCTCATTTTTACAAAAAAAAATTAAACTTTGGCACAATAACTCAAGTGTCCTCAGATGGTACAAACTTGTAGGAGCTAAAAGTTTCTCTATTATTTATGGTAAATTTTTTAGTATTAAAACACTGATCGCTCTAAGTGAATATGAATCAACAAAATATCTTTAAACTTATTTAAAATCTATTTTCTAGCACTGATTTACAAAAGTCATTGTTTTCTGTGCAGAAAAAGGAAACTGTTCATATTCTACAATTTCTTTACGGTTGATTTCAGTCTTGTTTTTATTCAAATACAGTCAAATACACTGGTGTTTATAAACTAAATAATGGAACTTTAAAACATCATTCAGCCAAAAAAAAAAAAATCAGTATTTTTTTTTGTTGAATCTTCAATTTTAATCTTCCTTCCTAAACATGCATCCAGAAGAAAACTCCCTTTTCAGCAGGAAGAGACCTCCAGCAGAACCAAATTTATTAGACTTTCCTCCTGCTTTGATTGGTTACAGAAGAAAGGACAAGAAAAGAGCACAAATAAAAATGGCAGTAATGTCATACATAAAATAAACATGGAGGGTAAAGAGAATAAAGGCCGTAGAGTTAGAAAATGAACAATCTCAGGATATCTGCCTCCTGAAGAAAGAAAAAACAGATACTTGAGGATTCTACTACCGTTCTACAAGTACATAAAACTGCAAAACAAAAATGCCAGAACCTGTCAGGTGACGCTGATGATTTTTCTTTTTTGCCCGTCTTTGCGTTTATTTATTTTGTGGACTGAAACCTGACTAAAGCCTCTCGTGCTGTACCTTCTTTCTATCTCTCTCCTTTGCTCAGAGGAAATGACATCACTGGAGTCCTGGACCACACCTTCTGCGTGGAGCACAACGCCTACGGAGAGATAATCCCACATGAACTCAAGCCCAACGGGAAGAGCATCTCTGTGACCGAGGACACCAAGAAGGAGTATGTCAGGTACAGAAGGGACGCGGCCGTGCTGGTTTTACTTGTTTACTGTGAGTTAAATATATTTGCTGTACGATTAACTGATCTTCCCACAGGCTATATGTGAACTGGCGTTTCCTTCATGGCATCGAGGCTCAGTTTTTAGCCCTGCAGAAAGGCTTCAATGAGGTCATCCCACAGCACCTGCTCAAAGCCTTCGATGAGAAGGAACTGGAGGTACGACAGTAGTTTTGAAGAAAAAAGTTACACCCATCATTTGTTTTAGTTTACTCTTTGTCTGGAGTCCCCCTCCCCCCACACCTTCTGAAGAATCACCTGTTGAAAGTCGTGTTCACCTTTCAGCTGATAGTGTGCGGCCTGGGGAAGATCGACATCGCTGACTGGAAGTCCAACACCCGGCTGAAGCACTGCACCCCTGACAGCAACATTGTCAAATGGTTTTGGAAAGCTGTGGAGTCCTTTGACGAGGAGAGGAGGGCGCGGCTGCTGCAGTTTGTCACCGGCTCTTCTAGAGTCCCACTACAAGGCTTTAAGGCTTTACAGGGTACCTACAATTACTGCTGCTTTTAACTTCCTGATTAATTCTTCTAAGTAAATTAATCACCCGTTCGTGAAACTAGATGTTTTAGATGACAATTTTTGTAACATTTGTCTTTCAAAGTTTGATTTATTTTTATTTTGGCTGCTTTTTCACTCATTTTATGTCAGATTATTGAACCCGCCTATGACAGTGGATTATGCAGTGTGTTCTTAGAGGAAAGTGGACAATTGGAACACAAATGAAATGTAACTCCTTAAAACAATCTACCGCAGATAAACCGTAGCCATGTTTTCATCCAGTTTGAATGCAAATTTTGAATGAACTTTTAAAAAGTCTATCTACACTGCAAAAAATGTCCACCTAACCAAGTTTTAAAATCTTATATCCAGCCTAAAAGTCTTTTTGACCTTGTTTTGAGACTGATTTACTAAACAAGAACTGATTGTGTAAGAATAATCATCTTGTTTTCAGCATGTGTAAGATTATTTGTCTTGTTAGTCTGAAAATTTGACTCAAATTAAGTCAAAATATCTGCAAATGGAGTAAAAAAAATTTACTTGGTAGAATTCTTGAAATACTTGATTTGACTCATTTTTTCTTCTTATTTCAAGAATCTTACCAAGTAAAATTTTCTTACTCCATTGGCAGAAATATTTGACTTAATTTGAGTCAAATTTTCAGGCTAACAAGACAAATAATCTGAGACATTCTGAAAACAAGATTATTATTCTTACACAATCAGTTCTTGTTTAGTAAATCAGCCTCAAAATAAGATCAAAAAGACTTTTTGGCTGGAAATAAGGTTTTAAAACTTGGTAAGATGGACTGGTTTGGATTGAATCAACCAGACTACACAAAACTAACGAGCAAGTTGTAATTGTTCTGCAGTATCAGCTAGTATTGGTGAGGTTACGCGCTGTCAGTCCACACATACCTGTTGTTGCTAACAGCCATGTTTTTGCCCTTTTGTGGGAATATCCAGGAAGAAACAGGTTTTTGGACTTTTCTAATGCAATATTTCTAAAAGTGCATTAAAACAGTGTTGATGGAAGCACAGCTAGTGTCTGAAACTTGTGCTCTTTTAGGAAATATGAAAAAATAAATTCATCAAAATTTAGAAAGATGCTTCATCCTTCTGTCGATCTTTGCCTTTATGCTAAATTTTCAGCCAATAGATCTGAGAATCAATTGGTTGGTGCTAAAATGCTCTGACAAACTGTTTTCATTGATATGTGTCAGATATAACATGGGTTCCTGTGAGAGGCTGCTGCTAATAGAGGGTCTAAAAAGGCTCATTTCTTATGTATCATCTCTTTATTTTAGGACTTGAATGATTCAAGTGGTTTAACAAAAAATATCAAGTCAAGTATGAAACAGAACAGAATATGTAAAAAGCAGCTAATATTTAAAGTAAAACTTAAAAAGACATTCACAAAGTGAAGACCTGCCTCAGGATGTTTCCACAGTCCTCTTCTAAATATTTTTGAACTATATGAAGACAGCAGACGTGACTGTGATGAGATAAGATTTGATCTGAGTACAGATGATAAGTGGATCAGGACTTGGTTAGTTCTTGTGAGTTAAAAGATAAACAGCAGCTGATGAATCCTGTTGTTTTATTCTCAGGTGCTGCTGGACCCAGACTCTTCACCATTCATCAAATTGATGCCAACACCAACAACCTGCCCAAAGCCCATACCTGGTCAGTTTCACACACATCACAAGATAAATATGATGGGCTTTAATGATTTTAATATACTGTACATTTCGTGTCAGTGTTAACAGTAAACTGAAACTGGAGTTCAACCATCAGTAACTTTAGTTTTAACCAGTGCTTGGCACATTAACATGTTATTTTCACGTTAACGCAGCAAACCTTAACAGCAAAAAATATATATAATAAAAAAATCACTTTAGTGCATTTATTTATTTCTTTATATTTATTCTGCAGACGAGACAGACTAATAAGTGTGTGAGAAGAAAAAAATAAGAGGTTTGCTTTGCCTCATTTGTTTTTGTTTGAA